CCAGATTGCAGTGTTTACCAAGTTAAACAGTCTAAAGCCAGATCAGCATATCAAAAATGACTCAAGCAACAAAGAGAGTTTAGCTATGAACCTGAGCAAGTTAGGGCTAAGGGCATTAATTATGGACAGGGTTCAAAGGACATAAACAAAGCAGACCTGGAAGAGTTCTGGACTTGGGCAGCTTAGAGGTATATACCTATGGCCATGGTCTGGACCCCTGACCCTAAGGGCTGGCTTGAAACCATCAGGCCCCTTTTCCCCCTAAGCATTGCAAGGCTGTAGCTTTTTTTTTTCATGTGTAAAGTTCTCACAGAATTGCCAGGGCTCACTCAAACTTGGTCTGATACTGGCAAGGAAGCTTGAAAACTCTTATATTAGTTTAGGTTTCCCCAAAAGAAAGCCCCAAGGCAAGAATTCAAGGTTAATATGGGATGTAATTCCAGGAAGCAGATAGGAGAATAGGGAAGTGAGATTGGGAAGGGAGGCCAGTCAATAAAGAGTGTGTTATCAAGCCAGTGACTACTTCGAACAATTCCACAGGGGAATTCCACAGGGGAAACTCTGGGAAGTGGAGTAGGATGCCTCAGAGAAGCAAGAGGGCTAGAGTATTTGAGGGTATTTATATACTAATTCCAGTCAGCCATTGTTGAAGGCTGCTAGGAGAGGGAGTGTTAATTACTGTGGGGATCAACAGGGATGCCAGATAACTGGTTGATCAGTATTTTATTTGTTTATTGGTCATTTAGTTCTCCCCTTCTGTGAATTGAGCATTCATATTCTTTGCCCATTTATCTATTGGGCTGCTTATCTTTTTCTTACGGATGTGTGGGAATCACATACATAGTCAGATACTAGTCTTTTCTTTATTATGTGTGTAATAAATATCACTTTCCAGATTCTGGTTTATCTTTTCACTTTCTTTATAGTATCATCCAATAAGTAGTTCTTATCTTTAATGCATATGAACTTATCAGTCTTTTCTCAATAGTCTATGCTTTCATATCTCGTTTAAGAAATCCTTTCCTACCTTGAGGTAATAAAGATGACAGTTTACCAGGAATTTTTACTTTTTATAGATAGTCTTTAATCCACTTGGAAATGACTTATATGAAGATGTAATATAGGAATTCACTATTCAATTTTTACCATGAAAAATCTCAAACATATACAAAAATAGAATAGTACTGGGGCTCCTGGGTGGCTCAGTGATTGAGCATCTGCCTTTGGCTCAGATCGTGATCCCGGGGTCCTGGGATGGATCCCGGGGTCCTGGGATGGAGTCCCACATCAGGCTCCCTGCAGGGAGCCTGCTTCTCCCTCTGCTTGTGTCTCTATCTCTCTCTGTGTATCTCTCATGAATAAATAAATAAAATCTTAAAAAAAATTGGATAGTACAATGAACTCAATACCCAGCTTCAACAATTATTAACTTACTTCAGTTGACCACTGCTGTATAACAGATTATCTCCAAATTTAGCAAATTAAAACAGTTATAAACATTTATTATCTTACACAGTTTCTGAGAGAATTTTAGGACTTTAGGGTGGCTCAGGATCTGTCATGAAGTTGCTGTCATGTTGTTGGCCTGGCTTGCAGACATCTGAAGCCTTAGCTGGGGTTAAAGGATATGTACCAAGGTGACCCTCACCTCTGGCTGGTAAGGTGTTGCTAGGAAGGATCTGTTTCTTGCCACATGGCCACCTCTGCAGAGCAGCTGAAGCGTCCTCACAGCATGGTAGCTGGCTTCCCCCAGGACAAATGATGCAAAAGAGAGCAAGGTAGAAATTGCAGTCACTTTTATAACATAGTCTTGGAAGACACACAAAATCACTTCTACCACACTGTATTCGATAAAAATATTCAAGGGGAATATTCAATATTCCCCACATTCAAGGGGAGAGAAATTAGGTTCTACTTTTTGAAAGGAAGAATATCAACCTTAGTGGATGTTTTTAAAATCCATATATAACTCACAACCAGTCTTATTTCAGCTATGCTTTCATCCACTCTCCCTTAAAAACTGGATTATTTTGAAGAAAATTTCAGACATATTATTCAGTATAAATACTTTAGCATGAATTACTAAAAGGGTAAGCCTTAAAGAAATGTCATAAACACCATACCATAATCACACAGAAAGTTAACAATAATTTCTAATGTCGCCAAATATATCCAATCAAAATTCAATAGCATTCATTTTCCCCTGATACATTCCTTCTCCTTCTCTCCCTCTCTCTCTTAAAAAAAAAAAAAAAAAAAAAAAAGTTTAAGACACTTCTGCATAACTCCAGATCCTTTCAGGCTCACCTGTCATTTAATCTAACATTGCTGCCCAAATCGGTTCTGCACAGGCTCCAGCCAGCTGCATACAGGTGTGGCCTGGCACTTCTTCAGGGCTTCTCTTTAACGCTGCAGTGTGGGATACTGTAGAAATATGCATAGTATGTACAACCCAGAAGTGCCATGGATTTAAAACTTTTTTAAAAAAGATTTATTTATTTATTCAGAGAGAGAGAGAGAAGCAGAGACACAGGCAGAGGGAGAAGCAGGCTCCATGCAGGCAGCCCGACGTGGGACTCGATCCCAGGTCCCCAGGATCACACCCCGGGCTGCAGGCGGCGCTAAACCGCTGCACCACCGGGACTGCCCTGGACTTTAAAACTTTTTGAGGCAAACTTTGACCAATGGAGATGAGAACCAATGGACAATTGCTTTCCCTTTCATCCCTAGATCAACAGTCTGAAGACACAGTGTATGTAATTTCTCACAAGGTCAGTGGGATTAAGGAATCACACTCTTCATGGTGGCCAATTTAATCATGTGCTCCCCCTTAATTCTTGTGCTCCCCTGTTTCACTTATTGTCCCTCATTCCTGCCCTCTGAGATTGCACTCTTCACTAAAGTATTTGCTCATAGCTTTACTGTCAGGTTCTGCTTTCTGGGAGACCCAGGCTAAGACACGCTTGGTTCTAAGCAAGGTCTCCCTGATCATAGGTTTCATCCCCTCCCACTTCTTTTCCCTTGCAATTGTTTGATTATCCTAGTAAATCATAGTTTGTCCACATTGTAGATTTTGCTGATCTCTCTTGCTGTGGTGTTTATCATGTTCTCTCATTCCATATATTTCCAAAACTGGTAGTTAGATCTAGAAGCTGGATCATATTTAGGTTTGATATTTTTGGCAAGAATATTTCATGGGTGGAGTTACATACTTCCCATTGCATCACATCAGAAGATATAATGTCAGTTTGTATCTTTATCCATTTTAAAATGGATCAGTAAATTCAGGGGTAGCAATTCTAACCTACCCATTATAAATTCCCCACCAGTTTTTCACCTGATGATTTTAGCAGTCAAACATAATCATGCCCTAGAACTGTACTGTTCAACAGTACAATAGCAACAAGCCACATGTGGCTAAAGGTAATGAAAATTGAACAAAATTAGAAATTTAATTCCTTAGTCACACTAGCCACATTTTAAGTGCTCAACAGCTACAATGGCTACTCTGTTGAACGATGCAAATATAGAATTTTTCCATTATCATGGAATGTTATATTTGACAAAGCTAGCCTAGAACCATTGCTTTATTTCAATTCTGATACTTATTATTTCTAGTATTTAATTTAAATCTATCATCCTTTATATGTTTACCAGCTGTTATTGTACATTCCCTTGTCAACTATTTAGTTGCTCTGAGGTATAGTTCATGGAGTAAAAGCATGATAAATGCTTATTTGCCTTTATGTACCAGTATTCAGGATGATGACATCATTGCCTAGTATCCTCCAGTGTTGATGGAAGCATTTTGTTGTTTTTATTGTTTTAAATATCATCATGGATTCACAAACAACATACCTGCTGTCTTTCAGTTCATTGTAGTTACTGTTCTTTTTGATGTTCACATTTTCCCATGTGCTAAACGTTGTTTCTTACAGTAGTATTGTATGGGTTTATCTGTTTGAGTTTTTTTTTTATTTCAAACAAGATGTTTCAGGCTCTTCCTGTACATTTTATACTCCAGATATGAAATCAAATATTTCAAGTATCCTTTGTTCCTTTTAGAGAAAAATAGTATGTAGAGACCACAATCTGGATGCTAGGGGTACCCCTTCCCAGTGACTTGTGCTTTGGGTTTTTTTTTTTTAAGTTTACGGAAGTAGAAAATAATCTTTTCTGTTTTTTAAAGAAAATATACCTTAGGTTCACACTGATGTTCCAAATTCAAATTTAGGTCTATGGAGTTGTGGGACCCCTGGCTGGCTCAGGAGAGCATACGACTCTTAATCCTGGGGTTTTGAGTTCAAACTCCATGTTAGGGGGTAGAGATTAAATAAATAAATATTAAAAAGAAAAGAAAAGGATTATAGAGTTATACTTAGTTTCTTGGAGTTCATGTTTGTATCTCCTGGACTTAAATGAGAATCTTAGTTTTTCATGTCATCAAAACAAGTATTCATTTTCTTTGTCCTATACTACCGATAACAATTTCTCATTCACTATCTTGACTGTCATCCCTTAACCTGTGACCTCCAAATTCTATGAATCAATTATTCTCTACCTGCATTTCCTCATTTGAGGAAGTTGCTATTCTCCCACCACCCATGACTTCGTGAACCAGTCAAGGAACTTAGCCTCCTCTTCTGTGAGAGTGGGAAAGAATCTCAGCTGTGAAGGATTAACACTCCATGGGTGAAAAAAAAAAAAAAAAACAAGACACTCCATGGGTGAAGTTTGGCCAGTGCAAGGTGAGAGGAAGGAACCAGCAAATAATTTTTTCCTTTCACCATTTCAAAACATGGTGGGTTTGCATAACTTTTTAAGAGGACTCCTATGTAACTAAGCAACCAAATATGTTATCTTGAAGCTACAGTGAGCTCAAAAATATACCACCCTGTGGTTGCTTTCCTTCCTTCCCCTTGTCTCTAACTTTTGTTTTGGGATAGCACCTCCCATTAATACCCTACCATGAAACCTTTGCCTCTTGTTCTGTTCACTAGGAAATCCAAGTAAGGACAATTTCCAAGGATCTTCTCTTCAGAAATGTGAAGAGCAGTGCTGGGAACTTATGTATTTTAATAAGCATTCCAGGTGAGTCTTATGATCAGACAAGTATGGCTGACGTTACCATTAAGCATCCTCAATCTTCAGATCTCACATCAACAGAAAATGAGCTGCTCGCGTTGTACAGAATTCAGAAGAGGAATCCATGCCGGGAACCCTTTAGATATAGCCATGGAGGACAATGAACAAGAGCGATGAGCACAGAGAATAGCCTGGAGGCAGTGAAATGGACTGAACAAGGATGTTGTCTGCTGCCAAACCAAAGAGCCTTTGCTGCTCCTGTCTTGCAGGAGGAAGTACGCATTATGAACCGGTGACTACTTCCTGATGTTCTCTCTCTGTCTCCTGTTCCAAATGTGAGTATTTATTGACTGAGGTCTTCCAGTCTTCTTCCAACAATTTGTTTGTTTGTGTTATTTGTATGTTGCTAGACGGTGGGGAGCCACAGCTGGCCCTAAATTCGAAGAATGCAGCAAGCTCACAACTGAAGGAACCCCTCTTGCCCTGCCCACACACACCTTGCAGCAGACAGGACATGACTTGAGCTAATTCTTTTTGGAAAGGGGGTGTTTTCATTTCTGTACCCCCAGAAGCATGTCATAAGACTGTAAGTATCTTATATGGAATTTAAAAAATTACTGGTAGAGGAGTGGGAAAGTGAGACAAAGAAAGAAAGGCAACCAATATAGGATCCATTATCAAGCCAGCTACTGTTGTGTACAATGGGGGCTTAATCCCATGGGAAACTCTGAGAGCCAGTGTAGAACATGCACTGCAGTGTTAATCCACTGCTAGGAGTTAGGGAGCTGGGGTGTCCATATATCAAGTCCCATGAGTCGTTGGTTGAGAGGAGCTCCCAGGGAGGATGAAATATTAATTCCTCTACACTTTGGGCCTGCTGTGTAAGTGACAAAGACGGAGTAGGAAATAATCAGAGAAAGGCATCATACAAAGGAGCGCACGTGCTGGCAGCTGGAAGCCAGGCCAGTATACATGAAAGTGGCAAGGACAAGGGGATATAGGCAAAGCAGTGATAGCATCTGCTGCAAGAACTCAGAGGGTGTCTCATCATTTATGAGCTAGCTTCAGTACCTTAAATGGGGACATTCATTTAAATTGTAGGCACATGTGTGTAAATGCTGGGCAGTTAAAGAAAATGCAAACTATCTGATTCTGCTTTTCAGAATCACTTTCTCCCATTCCATAGGATTCTGGGGGGACTGTCCCTCCAAAGGCCTCCCCGTCACAGAGCGTACAAATGACCCAAACGGACCAATCATTGTAGTCATTATAGCAGATACTATTGGTGCCCCAGTCAGATCCCCTTTACTGGCCAGTGCACCCATCCTGCAGTTCAGGTGAGTGTTGCCATTAGAGGCTCACAGCCACAAACTTCTTCAGAGAATTTCCCTCAGGAGGAGGGGGCCAATTTGGCTGGGATATTGTCCCCTCCCACCAGGGGGCATTCCTCATCTAAAAGGAGGTACAAAGACAGCTCATCTATCTCATGGGAAGGTGAGGGAGACAATTCTGCAGGCAATTTATACGTCAGAACTCCCCCAAGAGATCAGCTGGATCCTCACGTTTGTTAGTTTTTTTCCCTGACCCTATCCTGCTTCCCATGCTCCCTTACAGGATTTTCCTGAGAGCATTCCTCCGTTGCTCAGGTTTAAGTCTCAGGCTCTGTGTCCTGGATGCCCAGCTAGGACACAATGATGAATTGGCCCAAAGAAGACATATGGCCCCAGCATAGCTAGAGCCTTTGGGATCATCTCAGAAAGCAAATCTGTCTTTCTCTAAGGTTATGAGCTATATATAAGAACAATGTAGTAGATACATGTTCACTCCCTGAAATGTACTTTACTTCTGATAATAATTACATTGGGGATCCCTGGGTAGCTCAGCGGTTTAGTGCCTGCCTTTGGCCTAGGGCGTGATCCTGGAGTCTCTGGATTGAGTCCCACATCAGGCTCCCTGTGTGGAGCCTGCTTGTGTCTCTGCCTCTCTCTCTCTCTCTCTCTCTCTCTGTCTCTCATGAATAAATAAATAAAATCTTAAAAAAAGAACAAAACACAGTACATTGATTTTGGAGGAAGGAAGAAGGAACTACTTTTTTCTTTTATTCTTAGTTCTTTTACTCTGGGTGAAGATGACTTCTTTTTGAGTCCATAGGTGGGCATATGACTCACTATAACTAATCACATTCTTCAGTGGCCACAGAGATTGTTTGGGGGGTGTCTTATGACCCAGTCAGAGCCACTGAAATATGAGTGAATAGAGAGAAAAATTTTCCCACCCCCACCCTCACCCCCATTTTTAGAGCATCAAGGATGGGGGGAACTTAGGGCTACTAGAGGCCAATCATGAGGAACCTGAGTATAAAACCAACACAGCAGAAGGCAGGATATTGTGGAAAGGCAAAATGAGTCCTGCTTTGACAATGTTGGAGATCTTGGTTCGAGTTCCACTCAAAGAGAATCTCCCTTTAGATGATACTTCTTTGATTTCATAGGCTAATGAGTTCTCTTTTTTGTTTAAACCAGTTTGGGGGGATCCCTGGGTGGCGCAGCGGTTTGGCGCCTGCCTTTGGCCCAGGGCGCGATCCTGGAGACCTGGGATCGAATCCCACATCGGGCTCCCAGTGCATGGAGCCTGCTTCTCCCTCTGCCTGTGTCTCTGCCTCTCTCTCTCTCTCTCTCTCTCTCTCTCTCTCTGTGACTATCCTAAGTAAATAAAAATTTAAAAAAAAAATTAAAAAAAAAGTAAAAAAAGAATTCTATAAAAAAATAAATAAATAAATAAACCAGTTTGGGTTGGGTTTTATAACACTTAAAACCAAAGCAGTTATGATGAAATGATGCAAGAAAACATATTGCTGCCATGTGCAGAGCCCCTTGGTGACAATGAAACCTACACACACAAAAAGAAAGAACTAAGAGGAGAAAGAACACGTAGTTGTGGGCTTATCTAAGCATCAGGATCCTGACATTCCTGAAGCATATTGCTCCTTTGGGTTCCTAGTTATTTGAACACCAACTTCCCTTTTTTGCTTAAAGGAGTAAGAGCTAAGCTTTATCATTTTCAAAGGAAAGAATTTTTTTTTCCAAAGGAAAGAGTTTTGACTGACAATAATACCTTTTTCTCAATTTTCCTTTGAATCATTTTTTCTTTATTGAATTAGTCACTATTTATATATTAGACATTGATCTTTTGCCCATTGTTTACTGTAAGTAATTTATTCCAATCCACCACTTGTCTTTACTTTGTTTATAATATTTCTCATTATCTATAAGATTGTAATTTTATGGGTTCTATATCAATAAGCTTAAACTTTATCATGTTTGGATTATTAGACGTGATTCTTTTGGTTGAGAGTATTAGAAACCCAACTCAATTTAGTTCAAATTAAAAAGTTTATTGGCTAACAAAATTGGGAAATAGATGTATTTGGTCCTGAGCCACAACTAGATCATAATTCCAACAATGTCATTTAGGATAACTTCTCTCTTAGTCTAGGAGTTCTCTGGGTTTCTTTACTATTAAAGTTCTTTTTGCCTTGTTGGAAACATGGGCCATATTCTTTTTTTTTTTTTTTACGATTCTATTTATTTATTCATGAGAGACAGAGAGAGAGGTATAGATATAGGCAGAGGAAGAAGCAGTCTCCATGCAGGAAGCCCAATGTGGGACTTGATCCCGGAACCCCAGGATCACGCCCTGAGCTGAAAGCAGACGCTCAACCACTGAGCCACCCAAGTGTCCCATGGGGCATATTCTTACACTTGATGGTTCCAAAGGAAGAGAGAAAGACTGTATGATGGTTTAGATATAGGAATCCCGGGAAAGCCTGTTAACCTGTTATGGGAACTCTGGCCAATATGTATTATATATTGATTCCTGTGTCTAATGGCTGGATCAGTCATTTCAAACTGTTCAGAATCTGCTCCACATGGATTGTAAGAGTTTTGTCATGGAAGAATGAAGGAAAGGAAAACTTGATAAGCATACAGTAGCTATCAACACTGCCTCTTGTGTTTTGCTTATGAAAACCTTTTTCTCCTCAAATTATGGTTATATATATTTATATGTATATGTGTGTGTTTATTCTTTTCTAATTCTATCTATCCTTAACTTTTATTTATTTATTTTTAAGATTTTATTTATTTATTCATGAGAGACAGAGAGAGAGGCAGAGACAAAAGCAGGAGGAGAAGCAGCTCTATGCAGGGACCCCGATGTGGCACTTGATCCCGGAATCATGCCCTGAGCCAAAGGCAGACACTCAACTGCTGAGCTGCCCAGGCATCCCTCTTTTACTTTTAGAAAATCTGTGGGGGCACCTGGCTAGCTCAATCAGTGGAACACATGACTCTTGATCTTAGGGTTGTGGGTTCAAATCCTACATTGGGTGTAGAGATTACTTAAAAATAAAATCTTTTAAAAATTTTTGTATTTTCATTTTAGATCTGTATTCTACTTGGAAGGTATTTTTATTGCTGGCACAAGGTAGGAAATCTAACTTAATCTTTTCCCATATGTAAGACCTATTATTTCAAAATCAAAACCATATGTTGAATAGTGTCCTTTTCCCCACCAAGTAGAAATGACACATTCATTTCAAACTAAATTTTACATTTTTGTGAGTCTGTTTCTTGACTAGGCATTGTTCCATTGATCTAGCTTTCTATTTCTGTAATAATACAATGATGTGGGCAGCCCCGGTGGCGCAGAGGTTTGGCGCTGCCTACAGCCTGGGGTGTGATCCTGGAGACCCGGGATCGAGTCCCACATCACGCTCCCTGTGTGGAGCCTGCTTCTCCCTCTGCCTGTGTCTCTGCCTCTCTCTCTCTGTGTCTATGACTAAATAAATAAAATCTTTAAAAAAAATTAATAATAATACAATATTGTTTAAGTAATAGTTAACTTCTTTGGGAAGTTAACTTTTTTGCTTGGTATTAAACTACTTCTAACAGGCATGTTTTGGGATGTTCTCTTTGCTTCTATTTTCCATTGATCTGATTCTGTCAAATTTTTAAAATTTATTCAATAATTTTATTTTTTATTTTTTAAAAGATTTATTTATTTATTTATTCATTCATTCATTCATTCATTCATTCATTCATTCACGAGAGAGAGAGAGAGGCAGAGACACAGGCAGAGGGAGAAGCAGGCTCCATGCCGGGAGCCCGATGCGGGACTCGATCCTGGGACTCCAGGATCGCGCCCTGGGCCAAAGGCAGGCGCTAAACCGCTGAGCCACCCAGGGATCCCTATTCAATAATTTTAAATTTCATTTTAATTTGTTAATTTTTACCAAAGCAACAAATTAAAATGATTTAAAAGGTAAAATAGCATCGCAAAGCTCATAATGAAAAGCGTAACTCTCCTTCTTGATCCCGCCCAACCTATGTGCTGAAATTGTTTTGCCTGGTCTGTCTTTCTTTCTTTCTTTTTTTCTTTCTTTCTTTCCTTTCTTTCTTTTTTTTCTTTCTTTCTTTCCTTTCTTTCTTTCCTGCTTTCCTTATTTTTTTCTTTATTTTTTTAGATTTTATTATTTTTTTAAGTAATCTCTACACCCAGCATGGGGCTGGAAGTCACAA